CTCCTGATTGCAGCAAGATTAATTGGGAATACTCTAAATTGTTTAAATGGATTTTCAATGTTCGAAGTCAACTTTATATATTTTTTAAAATATTATCTTATTTAATACAGCTAAAAATAAAAACTAATTAATTTTATTAACAGACGTCTATTGTCAATAACATAAAGAAATGCGATTAGATATTTTAAAAATTGGAAATTAAAGCGGACAGTGAAAATTAAATAAAGTTAAAAATAATTGCAAAATAATAAAAAGTTTTTGTACTGTTTTGTATTAGTTTTGATAAATTCTCATTTAGAAACAAAAGTGTAAACCGGTAGTAATAATAAAAACCAGTTTTCGTCCCTCCAATAATAAAACAGTTCATACAAATAATAGTGAAGTCAAAATGGTAGAATGTTTTCACACGATAAATTAACATTTTTTTCTAAAATAGATTAAATTTATTTAAATATTCTTCTATTAAATTTAAAATGTTTTTTTTTTTATCCATTAATAAAAGTTAAATACAGAAATCGAATATATATTGTTGTGACTTCGTCACAACGCCGGTTGCAATTTTTTTTTATCATATTTTAATGTAAAAGACCGCTTGACTTCAGACCGGAAGTTCGTATATGATTAATCGGAACCTCCTAGCTTTTCATATCTGGTCTCGATTTTCATCTTTCTAACTCCATTCTGGAAATTAACGAAAACGGACGGACAGACGGACTTCAGTGGGAATTTACTGGTCTGCAGTTTGAAAACTTAATTATAAAATAACAATCTTGGATTTAATGTATTAAGTTCGTAAATTAAATGAAGCTTTAGTGAATAAACCAAAACAATAGTTAATTTCTTTATATTTATTTTTTCCTTACCTTTTCGCTTTCTGTAATATTCACTTGAGCAACTGTTTTTCCTTCTAATTTCCATGCGTTAAGTAGAAATGTGCCAATAATAAATAAATACCAGATGAACAATTTCGATGACGTATACATTCCGTCTCCTTTGAAAGCACGATTTGAAGTAAATTAAAGCTTAAACAATCTCATAAATTTGGTTTCAGTTATAAAATTTACTTGGTTATATTTTAAATTTAATTAAAATTTAAATAAACCCACCTCTTAAGTACAGAGGCCTGAGGCTGTGATGTCTTTTGGAGTATTTTGAATTGTATCTTTATTGCTAATTCCTTTATATATATTCGATAAATTTAATAAGTTTATCGAGTAAAAATATGTAAAATAAATTATTTAAAAAATAAAAATAAATTATATATACATATATTTTAACTTTTACATGAATATCTAGTAGTTAAAGTGGATTGGGGTATTGATTTCGTGATATAAGTTCAATGACAAATGTATAAGCACTTTTTACTCTAAAATTCGAATTTTTAAACACTAATTAAAGAGTTTTATTATTTTATTAAAGTTATAATTTTAGATTTAATTAATGAGAATGGAATTATTTTATATTATCAAAATAAGAAGGAAGACTATTTGCAATGTTTAATTCTGAATTGTTCGATTCTGTACAATATAAAATACAAATAAACTTTCATTTATTATATGAATTTTTGACTTGATATAAGACTTTATTATAATTCGAAATTAACTAATTATAATTAAATATGAATTTTTATATTCGTCAAGGAGAAATAAAATTAATACGAAATTTCGTTCTTTGTTTACAACGAAAAAATTATCGAATTTTTAAATAAATTGTAATTTAAATATAATTTAAATTCATAATTCTTTTGTTAGCCAAAAAATTTATTAATTTCTTATTTTATTAAACTAAAACTAAGTTTTAGAACATTTCGGAAGGCTTTTAAATAAGTACTAAACTTAAGTTTTAAGCGTGTTTTTTACCTTTAACATAAAAATAAAATGATTATTTTTTAAAATTTTCATCAAAGTTTCGAGAAACTTTCTATAAAATTATAAAACAAAATCGAAATTAAACTAATTTACATATTTGAAAAAATAATAATAATAAATAAATACTCACGAGTGAAAGTAGCTGAAAAAGTTAAACAGTGGATTTGTCTGTTTGTTGCTTTGAAATGATGGTGGCACATCAGCACCAAAAATGGTTTCCATGACAACGACCACGGAAGAATAATTTTGGTACTGGTTGGTGAAATCAACGAAGTGAGACCCTATCGAACTGACATTTTTGATCAGAGAAACATTATACGACTGCAGTACCAAATTTCATTTTTAAAAGAAATTCATATAATTAATTAAACATTTTATCGTATCAGATACGTTCTTAAGCATAAAATTAAGGAGAGAAGATAATTTTAATTGAACTTTCCGATTATAAATTTAAAAATGATTTAAATTTAACAACATTAGCTCGTTTCCTGTTCAAACAAACGAAAAATTGTTATTTCTGAAACTAAAAATACTAACTTTAATTTATTGAGTAAAGTTGAAAAATATAATTTATTATATTCACATTTATATTTATTTCTATTAATTAATCGGAAATATTCAATATACATTAAAAACCTGTGTAAACCGGAATAGCACCGCACCGGTTTGGCAAGTTTCCGTTTGCACAGATTTGTTTTTATTTTTAACATACAAAATCGCTTCATTCCGAAGATTTTTCCGTTTAAGCAGGTTTTCGTTTTACTCGGGTTCCGGTTTAAACAGGTTTTACTGTAATTAGATCGTATCTCTTAATTTTTAGAGAGATTTATTACTTGATTTTAATATCTTATTAATAACTTGGATCTATTAAAGATGATAATGTTTTTATAGTAAATGGATAAATAAAAATTAATGTTACAATTATCTTCAATTATACTTTACAATTACAATTATAGTAAGGATAATTATAATTAAAATATATTAAAACTATGATTGAAATAAACGTAGATAAATTAAATTATAAATTAATTTTTATTTCAATCATAATCAATTATTTTAAATGTTCACCGTGATTTAATGTAACAATTACCATAAAGATGTTTAAATGTTTTTATCACGCGTATATGTCAGGGGGTGTCATAAATTTAAAGCTGTTAAAATAGTGAGAAATAAAAATAAATAAATAAAATTTATTAAAAATTATATCAAATTTCATTATATTTGTTATAGTAATCGTTAAACGTAGAAATAAATAAAAGAAATAAAAAGCAGAAAGTAATTCTACGAACCCGCTAACACAAAATTAATATTTTTTTTTTTGAAAATTGTTTTACCTATTAAAAATAATATTGTTTTTATTCATTTCTATTGTTAATAGGTATACAATCTCAGACATTTAACTGTAAAATAACGTTGTAATCATTTTACATTTCCTATTTTAAACATAACAATGTAAAGGTCTTCGAAGACTTTCACACAATGACACAATGTGTTCTTAAAATTTTATTACTAAATAGTGTAATAATTAAATTACTGTGTTGTTTTAATCGTATTCAAATGTATGACTACATTCAAAATGTTTTATTTTAAATAAGTATGCTTATAAACTGAAACTTATCAGTTGTACACTAAGAGAACAAATCATGACGTAATCTAAATACAATATTTGCTTTTACAGCACGTGATGGCGCCAGTCTGCCTCTCTTAACCCGGATCGAATCTGGGTGGAGAATCCCAGGAATTTTTCATATTAAATCTGTCCTGAATACATCAGACCCCTTTCTCACCACAGTCTCCCTCATTGTGGACTTGACCAACAATGGGTATAAGAAAAATGCCCTCTTAGTGCCTGTAAGGCGGAGAAGATTAAAAAAGAAAAACAAAAATGAATCTTCGTTCGATGATAGACACTACACGCAATTCGTTGACACGAGACTATCACGGGTACAACAAGAAATAGGTACAAAAAGTTTATTTCATTATATCTTCGTTTGTATTAAACAATTCATATTTTGTTGAGATACAAAATACATTGTTGAATTACCAGTATATTTCATTTTGAATCTCGGTGGCCGAGTGTTGGTCGCAGATTCGCTTTTGAACAAAGGATTGGCCACGTGGAGTTTCCCGAGTTTTCTTCATTTTGGTAACATCTAAATATGGGCCAGTTTCCCATAAAAGATCTCCCAGGAGGCATCCCCTCAGCAGATCGCACATGTATCGAAAAACCAAACCATTTTGACTCGTATTAATGATAAACTGCATGGTAAAAAATTATTCTTCGCTGTAAAAGTTGAAGCGTAACGTGGATCCATGTGATTTTCTTATGGATAATTCGGATTTCTAATCTATATTAGCTTATCCCATTGAGTACGTTTACATGGACATATCTGTGGCCGAATTATTATAATCCTTAATGCGTTGATATTTCGAGAATTTACGACTCGATGTTTCCATTCCTAAATTATTTTCTACGGGATTATTTGTTTGATTAAGAAAAGAACCAACGAATCCGATGTCGTGCCTATTTTGAATTACTTTAATTAAATTAAGAGTTCTGGGACTGCCCTAAAAAGTTTTCTTAAATAAAATCTCGTAATCGACACGCAATTTTAAATGTTTTTGCCAGAAAAGTTAAGCAGTTCGTTTCCGGTTAAGTTTGTTAATTTTGCTATGCAAATCTCCATTTTCTACAAAGAAATTGAACATTAAAATTTACAAAATGCTTTTATTGAAGTGCACAGTGATTAAAATTATGATGTTTTTAAATTATAGAATTAACTTGTTTCGTTAATCCACCATTAAATAAAACGCAAAGAATGATGGGGTATATCTTTTAGGTTTTAATAAACCAAAACCAAAAATATTAAATTATTAATAGCAAAAATCATTTTATTGCATAAAACATGAGATATATTTAATAGCTTGAGGATATTTTGCAGAATCTATAAGTTTAAATCGTGCGATAAAATAAAATATCAATATTAATAATTACAAAATAGTAAAGATTCACAGATTATTATTATTATTTTCTGCTGATTCTAAAACTCGAAAACATTGTAAAGGTTTCCTGATAAATTCGCCATTATGTACAGTACAGTACATGATAAACTTAATTAAATATATATTTGAAACATAAAAATTGTAAAAACTTTTAATACATTTTAATCATAATAAAAACCAAACCAGTGTATTTATTTTTTAAAATAAATATTTACTTAATTCCCGATAAAAGTAGTCTACTATAAGTATAATTTAACTTAACAACCGGCCAATTGATATAAAATATAATAAATTTAATAAATATAAAATAACCAATAATAAATATTTAAAAAATTTTAATACATTTTAATCATAATAAAAACGATTTTTAAAAATTTTTTTCCTAAATATTTATTTAATTCCTCATAAAAGCACTATAAATATAATTTGACATATCTACACGCCAATTTTCTTTATTGATCTAAAGTATAATAAATTTTTAAAATAATCTACCGAAGCTTTTTCGTATACACATCAATATTATTCCAAGAACTAAAAATGCAAAATAAAATTTAAAAAAAAAAAATCATAAAGTTACATCGATTAAGGAAAATTAATAATTGCAATAAAAATTATAATAATTAATATTAATTATCGTAAAAAAATAATAGAAGAAAGGAGGGGAAAAAAGAGATAAATACTGTGTAGATAATATTGTTTTTAATAATAAAAAAAATATCATTTAAAAATACAATTTCACCGTTAAACTTTCATAAAATTAACATTTAATGACATTATCTATAAATAATAATCGGAATTTATTTTCGAAATTTTCCATTTGTAAAAGTTGCGAACTTTCTCGACACGAAACCTGTAAAACTTGTACAGTACACAATAAAAATAACGCATGCGTGAACCGATGAAACTTTTAACCAATCGGATTTAACACAAATGATCATCAATAATTTGAAAAATTATGTAATAGATAAAATAATAATATTATTATTACTGAGATCAATAAAATAATTTTTTATATTCGATGAATTCTTCTATTTTTATCGTTCCATTAAATTAATGCAATCCTATTAAAAAATCTAGTTAATCTAGTGTCACGGCAACCTGCCGAGAGGAAGTGGCCGTAAGAATATGAATCGACAGCAGAAGATTATTCTGCATCTTGTATATTCCATTGTCATCTCGATTTCTATGCAGAGTAAGTCCTAGTGTAATTTTCGTAAAGGCAAAAAATAATTAATTCGATCCTTATTATTTTTTCAAGCTAGCTTTGCTTGCATTTATTGGCTGGACGGTGCAAATTTGGGTGTAGAAAGCCAAGAACGTAACCTCCCTCGAACGGATTTGTTTTTTTAATTCTGTTGCTCGGAAATTACAGGCCGTTCGTTGATTTTTCGGAAACGGTATTAAAAATGGAGAGATGAGTAGCTGTAACGGTAATAAAGGGAACTATTTAGGTCATCTGTCCAGTTTTCCATTGACAAAAACAGGAATAGATCCTTCCAGCACGAGGAAGCTAATCCACAAAAATGAAAAAATGCAGCTAATGACAAATAACGCCGGTGAATTATTTAAGAAGAATCTATATTTAGAAGTGAATGATAGGCCCTTTCGGTAACAGAAGCCATTTTCTTTTTGGTTTTAAAATGAAATATGTGTGCCGCAAACTAGAATGGATTACTTAAATTCATCGCATTTAAGAAAAGAACAACCATTTATAAGTCATAGGCCTACTTTATGTAGGTCAAGGCGAATTGTACATTAGCATTTCTATAAAATTTTTACAAAGATTGTGCTTAATATAGATTTACCTTTCGTTATTTTTTAAATTGATAAATAAATAAAATTTTGGTTATTTAATAAATGAAATTACGATATTATTACTTATAATTATCGTCGTTATTTAATTCTTAAGAATAATTTCCACTTTTTATGGGAGCTGTAACTAGGCGTTATTGGCTATATATATATATATAAAACTGGGATATTTTAGTGATAAAGAAATTTGTTTATTGATTTAACATAGGCTAAATGAAAAATAAACCACGAACTATAAATGCAAACAGGTTTAATATGGTAATTATTGTCAACTCAATGTATTTTAACAAGGGCGACAACTTTAAATTAAAAGTGAAGTTTAATTAATTTTATGTTGATCTAGGCAAAGTTTATTATATAATATTTATTTTTTAAGAATTAATCTGTAACTTTAGATATTTGTGAATGCTGTCAACGTCCTCAAGCTCCTTCTAATGGAAGAGTTTGGTTTCGAATCCAAGGTGGATTGACTGCTATTTATACGTGTAATGTGGGTTATGTCCTAAAGGGAACTAATGTGTCGCAGTGTCAAACTGATGGCCAGTGGTCGTCGCCACCTCCGAAATGTCATTTACCAGGTAAGCTATAATTACCCGATTGATTATGATAATTACGCGGATTTTAGGACAAGTAATGTTTATAATTAGCCTCTCTTTACTGTTATAAGAATTGCTTTAAGAACAGAAATAAATCTTATCTGCTGTCCTAATTATCTATAATTATGAAGAGTGACTTATTTATGTATCATTTTACTACCATTAATATATATTTAATAAACCTGTACAAAGTATTTTGTATTTTTATCAAATAATATTTTCATTTTTTCTAACAGATTATTAAATGTTTTTTACATTTGTTTTTTTGTTTATCAATTAAATATTTTTATTTTAAAATTTATTTTAGAACTTTATATTAGAATCCAGACTTTTAATCAGAATAATGCATTATTTTACAGCATCTCTGTGCAGTTCTCCAGAATTAGTTTTAGAAAATCTTCATCTTCCAGCAAGGAGTGCAATGGTGATAGATTGTGACGCTGGTCAAAGAAAGAACATTTCACGAACTTGGTTAAAAGACGGCGCCTTAATTAATGAAATTAACACACCGGGAATAACCATTTTAGCCAATTTATCCATTTTAGTTCATTCGGGTTCTCCTCAAAATCAGGGCATCTATTTATGTTTAGTTCAAACATCAACGTCAGTAAAAATTGGCAAGGCTCTAAGATTACTCGTAGATAATGCAGAACATTCGGAATTATCAAAGTATCACGGAAAGTGCAATCTAAAATTCAAAGATTCTGCCAAAGTCGTGTACGGAAGCGAAGGAAATTCGATCTTTTTACGCTGCGGAATCGATGATCAATCGACGATCGTCGAGTGGTTCAAAGGAGATAAATTACTGCGGTATAAGGATAATTATCAGCATTTACCAGAGGGGACTTTATACGTGGAAAATCTAAAACGTTCCGATGCTGGTGCTTACATGTGTGTCGCTCGTTCATCTCCTATTTGCAACGTCAGTAGAATCATCGAAGTAAAATTAATCTCTCAGAACATACCGGAAACGTTTACGTGTGGAAGAACTTACGGAAAACACAGAGTAAAGAGAATTATAGACGGTGCACGTGCCGAAAACAATACCCATCCTTGGATGTGTATGCTATCGACCCAAAAAATTGCGGTGGTATGCGGATGCTCTCTTATTTCGGATAAATGGGCAGTAACTGCAGCTCATTGTTTTTCCGACGAGAGGGTTAAAAGGTACTTTGTTAAATTAGGCAAACGTCAAAGAGGACAGGTAGAAAAGGAAGAAATTGTCACACCTGTAGTAGAAGTGGTAGTTCATCCCCTCTATCAAAAACGTATTACGGACGATCAAGGAAATCAAGTCAGCAATGAAAACGATATCGCCTTATTAAAATTAGAGACTCCGGTTCGTTTCAAGCATAATATTTTGCCTATTTGTCTGCCCGCTAAAAATTTTATGGACAGGTTGCCACCTTACACTATGGGCGTCGTGACCGGATGGGGCAGAGTTAGCTTGAAAGGTTCCGTTATGGCAGTGACGTTACAGGAAGCTTCGTTGCCCATCATCTCGAATAAACTTTGTATTCAAAGTTCGTCTTATGTTATTACAGAGAATATGTTTTGTGCAGGATATGCGGAGAGTTATAAGCCCGATACTTGCTACGGAGATAGTGGTGGTCCTTTAACGGTGCACCACGAAGGCAAATGGTACTTGGTTGGTATTATTAGCTGGGGAGAAGGTTGTTCTACCCCTAGAAAATACGGCATTTATACTAAAGTAGAAAACTACGTTGAATGGATTCAAAATGTCACCGGTAAAAGCACTTAGTTTAATTTCAATAAACGTGAAATTTAATCAAATATTTGTATTTATTAATGTTTAAAATGATCCTAAATATAAATTAAATTTATTTAAAATTTGTAGAAATAATTTATTGGCGTATAAACAAGAGCCCAACAAATGTTAGATATACAGTAATTTAAAAAATTAGGCACGAAAATACATGAATTAATTGTTCTATTTTATGTATGTCCACAAAACTTTGAATTGAACGGGTTAAATAAGATATATATTTGTAATAGTTTGAAAATATATGAGAATAATAATTTGCTATGTAATGTTAAAAATAAATTAGAAGTTTATACAGATCTAAAATTATATTTAATTTTAATAGACTAAATTTTAAAAATTATGGCAATTAAATTATTTTTAACAAATAAAAAGTCGAAAGTAAATCATTAAGGAGATAATGGACGTGAATATAATCTAAAATTGATTGTAGAATAGACAATAGCGCGTTATACTTTCATGGGGCACAGGCAAATTTGAATTAGAAGGATCCGTTAAAGTGGTGACTTCATACATTTTTCTTCGGGAAAAAATTTTTCGGGATATAATATTCTTATATAAAAGATTAGTTTGGAGTACCTGTCCGTGGCCCTCAGGCAATTTTCCTTTTTGTCCATAGGATAATGCGCCACTGAAAATAGTAGATTAGTTGTGCTGTAATTAGTTATGTTGAAAAAGTTGTAGGCCTAAATTCCCACTGTTGTCTGTCTGTCCTTCCTTAATCTCGAGAATGAAGTGAGACAGATTAAAAAAAAAAAAAAGACAACATATGGAAAGAGCATGGGCAGGAGGCTCCGATTAACTATACAAGAACTTCTGGTTTGCATCAAAAGTTAAGTTCTTTGGGAAAAAAATTTGAATTTAAATGAGTTACACAACTGGCAGGACTCTATTGCTAACGGAAAAAGTATGAAGTAAGCTTAAGCCATTACTAATTTAAGGTGGAGAGCATATATTTTAAATTAAATAAATTTTAAAAATATGATTAAAAATTGCAACACGGTATTATGATTATGTCACAATAAATAATTGTTCGTTTGATTCCGTTCGATTTTGACAGAATACGGCAAAGCAACACCGCCAAGGGGATGCTTCTCGAGACGACTTTCTACGGGAACTGCCCCCTATTTAGACATTAGCCAATCGAATAAAACCCGAAAAACTCCACGTGACCATCTCGTTGGTTGGTCACGAACCTACGGCCAAGTTCGGTGGTTATAGCCACAAAAATATTAAATGATGGAAGAAAATAAATGCACGATTATTCATCAACAGTTTAATTTAAATTTCTTAATTTGTATTTAGTTTGGCCCAAACTCTTACCGGTTTAATATAATAATTATTCTCGATCGGCAATTTATCTTCGTTTAATTCGACTGTAACGAGCAGGTTCATCTCTCTAATTAAGTTCCCGTACAATAATTCGTTATACTAAAATTAGCATCCTTTATCGATAAAATATTAATTATCACCGAACTTGAAATTATCGCGAAGGTTAATTCGTGATAATTTAAGTTTTGCAAATGAATCCATTATTGAATAACGGAAGCGTTCTAAATCGTAGATTCACTAGGAATAGAAACGAATCCTGACATCTGGTTGGGAGTTCGACTTTGGTGATATTCCTCTATATATCAATATTTTATATACATTGCAATGTATATAAAATCTAATCTAATATATCTAGTATATGTACGTGGCTCCTATTTTTACAAGGTTTGGCTATTCCTAGTGTATACAGTATACATATTATGTACACAAACAGCCAAAAAGGAAGTGAAAATGTATTCTATTATAATCAATTTTTATAACGAATGTTTTAAACGTAAAATGAAGTTTGTTAAAAGATGAAACATATGTGTCCCACTATGTATAAACACTGAAAAGAATGAATGATAGGCTAATATTGAAAACTATACAAACATAGGCAGGCCATTGTTAAACCTTAATAAAATTATTTGTTTGACGAATTACTAGAAATAGTATTATAACACGAGAGAAGGCATTCTGTATATTATTTAGAAGATTTAAATTAATAATAATTAAAATAAAACGTGTTTTAGATATTCTCCCTTTCTCTTTGGTTGTAAATAGAAACATATATTTTGTAAATTAATAAATAAAAACCGTTTAACAATACATTTTTTTTATTTATAATATAAATAATATAAAATTATGAACAGAATATCCTTAAGTAGGAGGACTCGAATTTTTTATATATTTTCTAGTTATAAAAGCGATTAGAGTAAAAATAGAATTATTTAATAATTTATTGAATATTCTAATTCATTTGTATTAAAAATAAAATACAGTAGGTTTCGTTTATTGTAATCACAATAGAACTAGTTTATATCTATACTTTTACACGTCTCTCGGGTATTAAATTTGCTCAAACTTCATACATGTCGCGTATCATTTTGATCTGCTCGATGTCAGGATGACAAAAAAAGTCAGAAAATTTGAGAAAAATCACTTCCGATAGAACGTATAACGCGCCAAAGTCACAAATTTCTCTATAGAATTTTGACAGTTTTTAGCGGAAAATTTCAGAAGCAGAACAACTTAGAAGCCGAGGCAAAATCACTCTATTTAATCAGTGAATTCTTTCCGTTCCATTTGATTTCAATGCATTTGACACAACGTTCAACACAGATTTTGAACCAACGATAAACACCTTCTCTCACCTTCTCGAGCTTCTCTCGCCTGAGCATTGGTGGATCTAGAAAAGTGATGAGCAATCCTTTCTTGATGCGGTCCTCAAAATTTCGTAAGCTGCTGTAGGGGTATCCAGAGGATGCTTATAGTGCTTCAGATCACGCGACTTTGATGACAGAAAGCAAACAAACAGAAAAAAAAGACAGAAAACTTTAAACTGACATTTCCCCGGGAACAGACGTCAAAAAGTGTGGATCACAGACTAGAGATAATTACATATGAATTCAAAATAATTGTAATTTCGATTATTTCTGTGAAAATAAGAAATATAATAAATGACTTTATTTATACTTTTTCTATTCCTCCTTTCAGAATCACATGGAATATAAATCACACTGCAATCTGTATAATTTGTAATCAGTTTATCAATTCAATATTATCAATTATTCATTTTTTATCTTCTATTTAATAATTTCAAAAAGCTAATAAAAAAGGATGATGTAAAAAGTAAGGCAAGTAAGGTAATTCTAAAGTAAGGTCTTGGTACTCCCGAACCTACCTTGAGCACTACTCATATTCTCANTAATTCATTTGTATTAAAAATAAAATACAGTAGGTTTCGTTTATTGTAATCACAATAGAACTAGTTTATATCTATACTTTTACACGTCTCTCGGGTATTAAATTTGCTCAAACTTCATACATGTCGCGTATCATTTTGATCTGCTCGATGTCAGGATGACAAAAAAAGTCAGAAAATTTGAGAAAAATCACTTCCGATAGAACGTATAACGCGCCAAAGTCACAAATTTCTCTATAGAATTTTGACAGTTTTTAGCGGAAAATTTCAGAAGCAGAACAACTTAGAAGCCGAGGCAAAATCACTCTATTTAATCAGTGAATTCTTTCCGTTCCATTTGATTTCAATGCATTTGACACAACGTTCAACACAGATTTTGAACCAACGATAAACACCTTCTCTCACCTTCTCGAGCTTCTCTCGCCTGAGCATTGGTGGATCTAGAAAAGTGATGAGCAATCCTTTCTTGATGCGGTCCTCAAAATTTCGTAAGCTGCTGTAGGGGTATCCAGAGGATGCTTATAGTGCTTCAGATCACGCGACTTTGATGACAGAAAGCAAACAAACAGAAAAAAAAGACAGAAAACTTTAAACTGACATTTCCCCGGGAACAGACGTCAAAAAGTGTGGATCACAGACTAGAGATAATTACATATGAATTCAAAATAATTGTAATTTCGATTATTTCTGTGAAAATAAGAAATATAATAAATGACTTTATTTATACTTTTTCTATTCCTCCTTTCAGAATCACATGGAATATAAATCACACTGCAATCTGTATAATTTGTAATCAGTTTATCAATTCAATATTATCAATTATTCATTTTTTATCTTCTATTTAATAATTTCAAAAAGCTAATAAAAAAGGATGATGTAAAAAGTAAGGCAAGTAAGGTAATTCTAAAGTAAGGTCTTGGTACTCCCGAACCTACCTTGAGCACTACTCATATTCTCAAAATCCTGGATACTCCACTAGTTTATTTTTCTCTTTTCACTAGTCAAGTTTAATTTGAATATTCCTCTTCACTAATATCGGTTTAATGAGGTTGGATAATAGTAAGGAGCAGAAAACAGGAAAATAAAATTAGCCTCGAGAATCGCATATTGGGACCTCACGAGCCACGGAGTGCTTGTGATTGATCCAGACTATTTTCGTGTTATCTGATGAAATTGAAGAAAATGAATTTTCTAGATTCTTCTTCGATAACAATTTAGCATATTTCTGATTATGTCATCATAGAAGACACTAGAATTTCCTTGTTAATTGCCAATCAGTTTTTAAGACATTTCTCCTGACATCTTTTGCAGTGTTATTTGTGATTTCCTCGTCAATAGGTAAAATTAATTTTTTGGATGTTTCTGTACCTATTATTTTTTAAAAGAAATATTATTTTAAAACAATTCACAATGGTCTTAATAGACACTCAATCACACGAATTGTAAAAGATCAAGTTTATCTTTGAGGGACAAATTTTTCCGTTTGTTATTAACTTCTATTACGTTAAGAAGTTCGGTACTGTAAAGTACAATACTGTACTTTAAATAGTAATGAGATCACAGAAACAGCAGCAAACAGAAAACGGCTATCCTGTAAATAAAATAACGATGATGATAAAATTTAAATTACAGCATTGTATACAGCGTTGAGTGCAAGATTAAAACAAACATTTAATTGATGTATTAATTTATGAATTTAATATTTATTAATACTAGGTTGATTACCTAGTTAATTAAAACTAAA